ATTCAGATGTGTTCCTGACTTGTGTTTCCCTGTAATATACAGATGTGTTCCTGACTTGTGTTTCCCTGTAATATACAGATGTGTGCCTGACTTGTGTTTCCCTGTAATATACAGATGTGTTCCTGACTTGTGTTTCCCTGTAATATACAGATGTGTTCCTGACTTGTGTTTCCCTGTAATATACAGATGTGTTCCTGACTTGTGTTTCCCTGTAATATACAGATGTGTTCCAGACTTGTGTTTCCCTGTAATATACAGATGTGTTCCAGACTTGTGTTTCCCTGTAATATACAGATGTGTTCCAGACTTGTGTTTCTCTGTAATATACAGATGTGTTCCTACGGTAGCTTGTGTTTCCCTGTAATATACAGATGTGTTCCTGACTTGTGTTTTCCTGTAATATACAGATGTGTTCCTGACTTGTGTTTCCCTGTAATATACAGATGTGTTCCTGAATTGTGTTTCCCTGTAATATACAGATGTGTTCCTGACTTGTGTTTCCCTGTAATATACAGATGTGTTCCAGACTTGTGTTTCCCTGTAATATACAGACGTGTTCCTGACTTGTGTTTCCCTGTTATATACAGATTTGTTCCTGACTTGTGTTTCTCTAAAATATACACATGTGTTCTTGACTTGTGTTTCCCTGTAATATACAGATGATGTGTTCCTGACTTGTGTTCCCTGTAATATACAGACGTGCTTCTGACTTGTGTTTCCCTGTAATATTCAGATGTGTTCGTGACTTGTGTTTCTCTGTAATATACAGATGTATTCTGACTTGTGTTTCCCTGTAATATTCAGATGTGTTCCTGACTTGTGTTTCCCTGTAATATACAGATGTGTTCCTAGCTTGTGTTTCTCTGTAATATACAGATGTATTCCTGACTTGTGTTTCCCTGTAATATACAGATGTGTTCCTGACTTGTGTTTCCCAGTAATATTCAGATGTGTTCCTGACTTGTGTTTCCCTGTAATATACAGATGTGTTCCTGACTTGTGTTTCCCTGTAATATACAGATGTGCTCCTGACTTGTGTTTCCCTGTAATATACAGATGTGTTCCAGACTTGTGTTTCCCTGTAATATACAGATGTATATATTCCTGACTTGTGTTTCCCTGTAATATACAGATGTGTTCCTGACTTGTGTTTCCCTGTAATATACAGATGTGTTCCTGACTTGTGTTTCCCTGTTATATACAGATGTGTTCCTGACTTGTGTTTCTCTGTAATATACAGATGTGTTCTTGACTTGTGTTTCCCAGTAATATACAGATGTGTTCCTGACTTGTGTTTCCCTGTAATATTCAGATGTGTTCCTGACTTGTGTTTCCCAGTAATATACAGATGTGTTCCTGACTTGTGTTTCCCTGGAATATACAGATGTGTTCCTAGCTTGTGTTTCTCTGTAATATACAGATGTGTTCCAGACTTGTGTTTCCCTGTAATATTCAGATGTGTTCCTGACTTGTGTTTCCCTGTAATATACAGATGTGTTCCTGACTTGTGTTTCCCTGTAATATACAGACGTGTTCCTGACTTGTGTTTCCCAGCAATATACAGATGTGTTCCTAGCTTGTGTTTCTCTGTAATATACAGATGTGTTCCTGACTTGTGTTTCCCTGTAATATACAGACGTGTTCCTGACTTGTGTTTCCCAGTAATATACAGACGTGTTCCTGACTTGTGTTTCCCTGTAATATTCAGATGTGTTCCTGACTTGTGTTTCCCTGTAATATACAGATGTGCTCCTGACTTGTGTTTCCCTGTAATATACAGACGTGTTCCTGACTTGTGTTTCCCTGTTATATACAGATGTGTTCCTGACTTGTGTTTCCCTGTAATATACAGACGTGTTCCTGACTTGTGTTTCCCTGTAATATACAGATGTGCTCCTGACTTGTGTTTCCCTGTAATATACAGATGTGTTCCAGACTTGTGTTTCCCTGTAATATACAGATGTATTCCTGACTTGTGTTTCCCTGTAATATACAGATGTGTTCCTGACTTGTGTTTCCCTGTAATATACAGATGTGTTCCTGACTTGTGTTTCCCTGTTATATACAGATGTGTTCCTGACTTGTGTTTCTCTGTAATATACAGATGTGTTCTTGACTTGTGTTTCCCAGTAATATACAGATGTGTTCCTGACTTGTGTTTCCCTGTAATATTCAGATGTGTTCCTGACTTGTGTTTCCCAGTAATATACAGATGTGTTCCTGACTTGTGTTTCCCTGGAATATACAGATGTGTTCCTAGCTTGTGTTTCTCTGTAATATACAGATGTGTTCCAGACTTGTGTTTCCCTGTAATATTCAGATGTGTTCCTGACTTGTGTTTCCCTGTAATATACAGATGTGTTCCTGACTTGTGTTTCCCTGTAATATACAGACGTGTTCCTGACTTGTGTTTCCCAGTAATATACAGATGTGTTCCTAGCTTGTGTTTCTCTGTAATATACAGATGTGTTCCTGACTTGTGTTTCCCTGTAATATACAGACGTGTTCCTGACTTGTGTTTCCCAGTAATATACAGACGTGTTCCTGACTTGTGTTTCCCTGTAATATTCAGATGTGTTCCTGACTTGTGTTTCCCTGTAATATACAGATGTGTTCCTACGGTAGCTTGTGTTTCCCTGTAATATTCAGATGTGTTCCTGACTTGTGTTTCCCAGTAATATACAGATGTGTTCCTGACTTGTGTTTCCCTGTAATATACAGATGTGTTCCTACGGTAGCTTGTGTTTCCCTGTAATATACAGATGTGTTCCTGACTTGTGTTTCCCTGTAATATACAGATGTGTTCCTGACTTGTGTTTCCCTGTAATATACAGATGTGTTCCTGACTTGTGTTTCCCTGTAATATACAGATGTGTTCCAGACTTGTGTTTCCCTGTAATATACAGATGTGTTCCTGACTTGTGTTTCCCTGTAATATACAGATGTGTTCCAGACTTGTGTTTCCCTGTGATATACAGATGTGTTCCTGACTTGTGTTTCTCTGTAATATTCAGATGTGTTCCTGACTTGTGTTTCCCTGTAATATACAGATGTGTTCCTGACTTGTGTTTCCCTGTAATATACAGATGTGTGCCTGACTTGTGTTTCCCTGTAATATACAGATGTGTTCCTGACTTGTGTTTCCCTGTAATATACAGATGTGTTCCTGACTTGTGTTTCCCTGTAATATACAGATGTGTTCCTGACTTGTGTTTCCCTGTAATATACAGATGTATTCCAGACTTGTGTTTCCCTGTAATATACAGATGTGTTCCAGACTTGTGTTTCCCTGTAATATACAGATGTGTTCCAGACTTGTGTTTCTCTGTAATATACAGATGTGTTCCTACGGTAGCTTGTGTTTCCCTGTAATATACAGATGTGTTCCTGACTTGTGTTTCCCTGTAATATACAGATGTGTTCCTGACTTGTGTTTCCCTGTTATATACAGATGTGTTCCTGACTTGTGTTTCTCTGTAATATACAGATGTGTTCTTGACTTGTGTTTCCCAGTAATATACAGATGTGTTCCTGACTTGTGTTTCCCTGTAATATTCAGATGTGTTCCTGACTTGTGTTTCCCAGTAATATACAGATGTGTTCCTGACTTGTGTTTCCCTGGAATATACAGATGTGTTCCTAACTTGTGTTTCTCTGTAATATACAGATGTGTTCCAGACTTGTGTTTCCCTGTAATATTCAGATGTGTTCCTGACTTGTGTTTCCCTGTAATATACAGATGTGTTCCTGACTTGTGTTTCCCTGTAATATACAGACGTGTTCCTGACTTGTGTTTCCCAGCAATATACAGATGTGTTCCTAACTTGTGTTTCTCTGTAATATACAGATGTGTTCCTGACTTGTGTTTCCCTGTAATATACAGACGTGTTCCTGACTTGTGTTTCCCTGTAATATACAGATGTGTTCCAGACTTGTGTTTCCCTGTAATATACAGATGTATTCCTGACTTGTGTTTTCCCTGTAATATACAGATGTGTTCCTGACTTGTGTTTCCCTGTAATATACAGAATGATGTGTTCCTGACTTGTGTTTCCCTGTAATATACAGACGTGTTCCTGACTTGTGTTTCCCTGTAATATACAGATGTGTTCCTGACTTGTGTTTCCCTGTAATATACAGATGTGTTCCTAGCTTGTGTTTCTCTGTAATATACAGATGTATTCCTGACTTGTGTTTCCCTGTAATATACAGATGTGTTCCTGACTTGTGTTTCCCAGTAATATTCAGATGTGTTCCTGACTTGTGTTTCCCTGTAATATACAGATGTGTTCCTGACTTGTGTTTCCCTGTAATATACAGATGTGCTCCTGACTTGTGTTTCCCTGTAATATACAGATGTGTTCCAGACTTGTGTTTCCCTGTAATATACAGATGTATTCCTGACTTGTGTTTCCCTGTAATATACAGATGTGTTCCTGACTTGTGTTTCCCTGTAATATACAGATGTGTTCCTGACTTGTGTTTCCCTGTTATATACAGATGTGTTCCTGACTTGTGTTTCTCTGTAATATACAGATGTGTTCTTGACTTGTGTTTCCCAGTAATATACAGATGTGTTCCTGACTTGTGTTTCCCTGTAATATTCAGATGTGTTCCTGACTTGTGTTTCCCAGTAATATACAGATGTGTTCCTGACTTGTGTTTCCCTGGAATATACAGATGTG